TAATTGCAAATATAACAATAATAAATAATAATGAATCTTCATTATTTTTAGTTAAATATAATATAGAAATATAGAAAATTAAACCAACTAAAATATATAGACCATAAGATGTAACAACACCAGTACTTAATTTATTAATAGAATTACTAATATTAGTAAGACTTTTTTCTAAACCAAATGGCCCGAATTTTTCTACAGATCCTTTATCCATTACTTTTGTAGTTTGAGCACCTAAATATAAAACAGGTCCTGATATATATTTATTGTAAAACATTTCAACTAAGAACCGTTGATTAAGAAAGCCAAATATATTATAACCTAAATTAGATAATTTAAATTTCATAAGTAACTTAGGATATAATTCAGTAAATAGTATAGAAACAATACTAAGTGTAACAGTGAAGAATAAAGGTAATAATTTATAAAAAGTAGGAACGGCAAATTCTGTATCTAACATAATTTCATGTTTAGGGTGTATAAATAAACTGTTATCAGAAAAGAAATCAGATCCTAAACCTATAAATATATCTTTAGTAATATAACCAAAAAATATAGAAAATACGGCTAATATAATTAATGGTAAACTCATAAATATATCACCTTCATGTGCCGCATGAGCTTGTTTATAATTTACTATAGGTCCATTAGGATTACTTAAAAAAGTTAAATATAAAACTTTAACTGAATAAAGTGTAGTAAACATTGCACCTATAGTTGCAATATAATAAACTGCTATACTAGATATGTAATATTTACCAAATGCAGATTCAATTATAAAATCTTTTGAATAGAAACCAGTCATAAAAGGAAAAGCTACTAAACTAAGAGAAGCTATTAACATCGCTGAATAAGTTAAAGGTAAATATGATATTAAACCTCCATATTTTCTAAAATCCTGATTATCTGCAACAGCATGAATTACTGCACCTGCACCTAAGAATAATAAACCTTTATAAAAAGCATGATTTACTAGATGAAATAAGGCAATATTATATGAAGATAAACCAACTGCTATAACCATCATACCTAATTGACTCATAGTAGAATAAGCTATAACTTTTTTTATATCTTGTTGAAATAAACCTATTAAAGAACTAAATACTGTTGTTATTGCCCCCAATCATAGACATAATAATAACACTAATGAACTATATTCTATTAAAGGAGATACTCTTATTAATAAATAAACACCAGCTGTAACCATAGTAGCTGCATGTATTAAAGCAGATACTGGTGTTGGACCTTCCATAGCCATAGGTAATCATACATGTAAACCAACTTGAGAACTTTTAGCCATAGCACCTATTAATAAACATATACCAATAATAATAATAACATTTTCACTATAGAAGGGTGCCAATGAAAATACTGTATTATAATCTAAATTACCATATGATCATAATATAGCAAACATACCAATTGTTAAAAAACAATCACCAACTCTATTAGTTAAAAAAGCAGAAATAGAACTTTGATTAGCAGCTATTCTTGTAAATCAAAAACTAACTAATAAATATGAACAAACTCCTACACCTTCTCATCCAACAAACATTAATAAGAAATTATCTGCTGTAACTAATATAATCATCATAAAAGTAAATAAACTTAAATAACTGAAAAATCTTTGATTATGAGGGTCGTGACTCATATACCCTATAGAATATAGATGTACTACTGAAGATACTATTAATACAGGTATTAACATTGATACTGTTAAACTATCGAAATTAAAACTTCATTTTATATTTAGTGATTCTGCATCTATTCATCTAAATAATTCTATTTTAACAGGTATTTGATTTAACCCTACTTCTATAAAAGCAATTATTGCTAAAATTGTTGTTATTATTACACAAGTACATGTTATTATACGTGCTCCACTAACACCGATCTTTCTTCCAAAAAAACCGGAAACTATTGATCCTAATATAGGTAAAATTATTAAAGCTAGATACATTATTTATATTCTATTGCGATACTACCTCTTAATCTGTAATATGCTACTAATATACCTAAACCTATTGCTGATTCCGCACCAGCTATAGCTATTATATATATAGAAAGAGTTTGACCTAATATATCATCAAAGCTTAATGAACTTATTAATATTAAGAATGTAATTGATAATAACATTATTTCAATTGAGATAAGCATTAGTATTATATTTTTTCTATTTAAGACAAAACCTAATACTCCAATTAAATATAAGATTAGTGAAAAACTCATTAAATATTTTTAGATTAAATTATGGTATTGGATATATTATGAAAAACAATTATTAAAAATTGATTTATTATTTTTATAATTAAATTATATATTAATTTAATTAATTAAATTTTACGGCTATTCAAATTTTTTATGAAAAATGTATTAAAATAAATATATAATATTAAAATACCAAAAAAGTAACATAAATATGTTTTAACATATTAACCTTCTATTTGATCATAAAGTCAGAATAAGAATTTTGGAAGAGAAGTAGATTGTATAGCAATAGGCATAGAACTATGTAGAATACCACAAATTTCTGAACATTGACCATAAAAAGTACCTTCTCTATTTAAATATACAGATGATTGATTTAATCTTCCAGGGTAAGCATCACATTTAATACCTAATGATGGACAAGCATAAGAATGTATAACATCTGCTGCAGCTACTACAAATCTAGTGTGAGTTAATTCTGGAATTATAACTCTATTATCAACTTCTAATAATCTTAATTGTCCTAATTCTAAATCACTTTCTGGTATTATGTATGAGTCATACTCAATTGTTTCTTCATCAGCATTTACAAAATCTGGATATTGATAACTTCAATATCATTGATGACCTTCACCATATATAACTAATGCTGGATCAATAACTTCATCCATTAAATACAATAATTTGAATGAAGGAAATGCAATTAATATTAATATAAGAGCAGGTGTAATAGTTCAAATCAATTCTACTAAAGTACCATGATTTACATATTTATTTGATATTTTTTTATTTTTGAAGTTCATAACTATAGATATCATCATTCAACTTACAGCAAATAAGATTATTGCTAAATAGAACATTATACTATTATGTAATTCTTCTATACCTTCCATTTGAGGTGCGGCGTTATCTTGAAAAAATATACCTCAAGGTTCTGGTGTATCATTTTTTATTATATTTATATTTATATAATTACTGTTTTTGATCATATTCATATTAAGATATAATTAATACCAATTTTATAAGTAAGATTAAAAAGGAAAAATGTAAATTTATGATAATTTTAGTATTGAATACTAATTTTTTTCTTAAAAATTATATATAGTAATTTTACAATAGTTTATATATAATATATATTGTATAATAAATAAAATGTATAATAGTGTAAACCATCTAATATTATAGAAGGATATATACCTAGTAATATAGTAAATAAAACCAATACAATTAACATAAAAAATTCTCTTCTATTTAAATCTGGTATATATTCAAATCAGTTTTTAAAAAAGAAAGAACCTGCAAAACATATTCTATTAAACATAAATATAGTATAAGCAGCAGAGAAAACAATAGATGAAGAAGCTAGAATACCTGCAAGAGGTAATCTTTCAAATACACCATATAAAGACATAAATTCTCCAACAAAGTTTAGTGTAAGAGGAGCACCACAATTACCTAAAGATAGCATAAAGAATAAAATAGATAAAATAGGCATAACTTGAGCAATACCTCTATAATATGTTATTAATCTAGTACCAGATCTATCATACAATACACCACCTGCTATAATAAATAAACCAGAAGAAACAAAACCATGAGCCAAACCTAAACATATACCACCTTGTATTCCTTGTAAAGTATTACTGAAAACACCTGACAAGTATACAGCTGCATGTGATACAGATGAATAAGCTATTAATTCTTTTACATCTATAGTTCTAAGTGTACTTAGACTAGCATATATTATAGTTAGAATACCTATAAGGAATACAATATAAGTATAATATAAAAAAGCTTTTGGTACTAAAGGTAAAATTAATCTAAAAATACCATATAAACTTAATTTTAATACTATTGCAGCTAAAATAATACTACCTGATAAAGGAGATTCAACATGAGCTTTTAATAATCAACTGTTTAAATAAATAGTTGGTGTTTTAACAGCAAAAGCAATAAATATACCAATGAATATAAATACTTGTGTAATGTATAAGAAATTTGTTTTTGATAAAACATTAAAATCTGTACAACCTATTAAAGATTGCATAGTTATAATAGATAATAACATAAATAAAGAACCTAGAAATGTATATAAGAAAAAATAAAAACTTGCTCTTATTTTAGCACTAGATCCAAATATACCAATTAAAATAAATAAAGGAGCTAATATACTTTCAAAGAATATATAAAACATTAAAATATCTAAAACTAAAAAAATTAATAATAATAATGCTTCTAATAATAAAATTATTACTAGAAAGTATTTTACTTTATTATCAATAGATTTTCAATTAGATATAATTGCAATTGGCATTATTAATGTAGTTAATAATATAAATATATAGATAATCCATCTATACCTAAATAAAAATCATAATAACCAATTTTATAGTGTTCTTGTACAAATTGAAAATGTTTACTACTATTATTAAATAATAATCATATTATTAAAGATACTACTAAATCTATAATTGTAATAGCTAAAGCAAATGTTTTAAGAATTTTTGAATTTTCATTTAAGTCATAAGAATTATACGATAAAATCAAAAATATACCGATAAAAGGTATTAAAATTAAAGAAGATAATAACATTTAAATATAAATTAATAAAATTTTACTACAGATTATAAGTTACATAAATACTAAACTAAAAAAATTGTTCCTGAATAATAAATTTTTATTAAAATATTATACTAATATGTAGCATATGATTCCTCGATGACTTGAACATCGAAAATATTCTTATCAAGAATACGCTTTACCGATTAAGCTAAGGAACCTACTTATTAAATATAACAAGAGCATTCAGACTTGAACTGAAAACATGAAGTTTGAAGCTTCTTATTTTACCTATTAAACTATACTCTTAAGAGTAAAACGGAAAAGAGGTGATTTGAACACCTATGTGTAAAACACAATATTTAGCAAATACCTTACCCTACCAATGGAAACTTTTCCCATATAATACGAATTAGACCGGTCTCGATCCGGCATCATTTTCCTCGACAAGGAAACAGTTTACCAATTAACATTACTAATTCTTTACGGCTAGCCAAACTCGAAATGGCATAATTCGTTTGGAAGACGAACGGTTTACCATTAACCTATAGCCGTTTTAAAATATCGGAGCACTATGGTTCGAACATAGAAGATCCTCAACCCAAATGAAGCGCCTCACCAACCTGGCTCTACTCCGTTTACCAGGAGAGAAATTTGAATTCTCATTATTAATGCATGAAATTAAAGTTCTAACCAATTAAACTATCCTGGCATACATACTCTTATTTAAGATTCGAACTTAAATCATGATATTAGAAGTATCATGCTCTACCCTTGAGCTAATAAGAAAATAGGAGAGAAGAGATTCGAACTCTTAAAAGCATAATACTATTGAGTTTACAGCTCAACCCTTCTTACCAATAAAGGAACTCTCCTAATCTATTAAGGCCTAAAGGATTCGATCCTTTATTATAGCGATTAAAAGTCGCATGTTTTACCAATTAAACTAAAGCCTCTTTTGCTAACAAAAATTTCTAGTGTATAATACATTGAAAAACTTTTTTTTATAATAGCAAAAAAAAAATACATTGTACTTTTATTAATATTTTTGTTTAATAGTAATAACTATAGAACCTACCATAGCTAATAGTAAAATTATAGATGTAATTAATAATCAAATAGAATAATTAGTATACATAACGTTACCTATACTAGTTATATCTATTATATCCACAATGTTATTATCTCAATTATTAGATGATACAAAAAATATATTTGTAATATCATAATTTAAATTAGTTTTTGTATAAGGAGATAAATTATTATAAGGTATAAATAATGCCAAAATAACTAATATAGCTAAAGGTATATTATTGTTAGTGTTACTTATAAGCTCCGAAACTCTAATGTTAATAAGCATTAAAATAAATAAAAATAATATTGAAACAGCTCCAACGTAAACTAAAAGATAAGATAAACCAATAAAATTTATACCTAAAAATATAAGATAACAAGAAATACATGAAAATAACATTATTAAATGTAAAACAGATATTATTGGATTTTTACTTACTATTATAAATATACCCGCAAATATAGATAAAATAATAATTAAATCTAAAAATATAACAAAAAAACCATGAAATTGATTAGATATAAAAAACATCAAAAAAAAATTTTTAATCTTAAAAAGAAAACGGAAATTTTTTATAGGAATTGAACCTATATAAGTTAGACCTGTATATATATATATTTAATAAACATCCATATCATCAAAGGGATTAAAATCCTGAGGTTGACTATCTATAGAATCATCTGTAGGTGTTCTTGATCTATGTAATCCACCTGAAGTTGGTCTAACAATTTCACCTTTATGAAGAATTATATATTTATAAAATTCATTGAAAAAATCAAAAAAAAAATATATATAAGTAAAATTGTATATGAATGAAAAATATGTTAATTTTATTAAAGCTTTTAGGAATCGAACCTAAATAAAAACCTAGAACTATAATGTAGACAAAAGTCTACCAAATATAATACTATATTTAATTTTTAATATTAATGCATCCCGTGCAATTTCCATTACACGAACCATATTTCGACTTAACACCAATAAAAGTCACGCATACGAAAATTGCAAATTTAAAAATTTACAACTATTTAAGTAAAAATAAAATAAATAAGCAACCAAACTTATTGCGCATACTTCTTTCAGCGCCTGACGAGTGGTTAGTACCCATCTGAGATAAAATTCACCGTGACGTGGTGATTCACGATTACTAGTAATTCCATATTCATGTAGTCGAATTTCAGACTACAATCCACAAATAGTTATATCCAATTTTATGGGATTAGCTCCATTTTACAATATTGCATCCCTTTGTAGAGGTATATGTGGCACGTCTATAGCCCACGCTATTAAGGCCATGATGACTTGTCTTGGTCCCTGTTATTATTTCCATTTATAGAAAAACACTCTAAATATAAATAAAGCTAGGGTTTTCGTTAATTAAAGGAATTAACCAAAATCTCACGACATTAACTGAAGACAGCCGTGCAGCACTTGTATAAAAATATTCAAGGCGTGGTAAGGTTTTTCGCGGATCATCGAATTAAATAACATACTTCACTACTGGTTTCAGAAACGGTCTAATGATTTCAATTTGTGCATTTCCGCCTTAGTCATGAGGTGGAGTGCTTACACTTTCATTTATAGGCCAAATATATCTAGCCTATGGCACTCATCATTTTCTCCAAGGACTACTAGGGTATCGAATCCTTATCGCTACCCAAGGCTTCGTCCCTCAACGTCAGTTTTTACTTAGAATAAAGCCTTCGCCGTTACCCGTCCTACCAGTATAATAGGATTTTGTCCCTCCTCTGGTAATTCGTATATTCCCACATAAAACTCTAGAAAACTAGTTCCTATTAAGGCTTGGTAATCTGTCTAGGTACCCTTTATACCCATTAAAGATGAATAACACTTGTCTTTTACGTATTACCGCGACTGCTGGCACGTAATTTGGTCAAGACTTATAGATAAAAAATCGTCATTCTCTTTATTTTATCTAGAATTTTATACGACTTTCATTTTCCATTCTTCCAAGTTGCTGGTTCAGTCTTTCGACTATTGACCAATATTCCCCACTGCTGTACAATTCTGCCCTGGGCTTTTTTCAGACCCAGTGTGGTCGATCGACCTCTCAGTCTCGACTACCAGATTTTGAGCTAGATTTTTATCTATTACTCATCCAGAATATCTATTAACATCTTAAAGCGAATTTTTATCTATCTTTTTTTTTTATAAGGGATTTTTTTTCTTCCTTACTTTAAGGTAGTTATAAGATAATTTACTCACCTGTACACCACTTCATAATTAATTAATATATAATTAATATATATTAATTATATTAGACGTTTGATTAGCATGTGTCAAGCATTTGGATAGCGTTCATTCAGAGCCATCATCAAACTCAATTTATTATACTACTAGACTTATTGTATCTTTTTATTAAAGTATTTAGATTCGAACTAAATTTATACCTAAAAGATTCTCTTTTTTACTTTTTTATGTTATAAATTTATATTCAATTTAATAAAGAATATTTAATATAAGCTAGCTCTTGTTAATTCATACATATCCTTAATACAGCTAAATATATATTACTTTTTTCGTTTTTTATTTATTTTCTACTTATCATCAGAACTCTTACTCTTATTATTTTTTTAATTTATATTTATTTAGCTCTAACTTTCCTATACTATATATATAATAGTAATGTATATTATTTTATTTTAATATTTTTCTTTATTAATGTAAATCTAAACTATCTTTAATATATGATGAAGATAATACTACAAACACTTGTGCTTGGATAAATGCTATACCTATTTCTAGTCCTGAGAAAGCTAGAATAAATAATAATGGCACTAATCCTAAAAAGAAGTATATAAATCCTGATTTCATAATATTATATGTAAATCCTGCTAAAATGTTAAGAAGCATGTGACCACTTAAAATATTAGCTCCTAATCTTAGACCTAATGACACAGGTCTTGATAAATATGAGATAAATTCTATTAATACTAATAATGGTAATAAACCTAATGGACAACCAGATGGTACTAATAATGAGAAAAATTTTAAAGAATGTACTTGGAAACCTAAAATAGTTGCTCCTATTACTATTGTAAAACTAATTGAGAATGTTAATACAAAATGTGATGTAGGTGCGAAACTATAAGGTACCATACCTACTAAATTATTTATTAAAATATAAATAAATAAAGCAGATATTAAAGGGAAAAACATTTGACCTTTTTTTGCATTTATTTGATTTATTACTATGCTAAAAACTGTAGCATATATAGATTCCATTGATATTGATCAATTATTAGGTGTAATAATATTATAATTAGTTGCTAATATATACATCATAAATATTAAAATTGTTGTTATTATTAAATATAATCCTATATTAGTTAAAGATAATTGTATATTTCCTAATAAATCCGCTTTAATGCTAAGTAAATTTCTTATGGTGAATTGATCCAAAGGACTTTGATTTAAGTAAGTCACTAGATATTTATGTATTTTTTGTTGTTTGTAAAAGATAAAAAATTTTTTTTTTAATTAATATCTCTTATATTGTTGTGTTTTTATTTGATTCTAAAGTTTTTAAAAATATTCGAGTTTTAAATAATCGCACAAATCTTGGTAATATATATTTAGAAAATAAATATATTATAATTATTAACAATAGAAAATTATAAGTAACTTGATTTACAAAAAAAAATGGTATAAGTTGTGGCATTAAATTATTGATTCAAAAATAAATATATAAATTTATTATACAATATATGTTAATTAAGTTTATTAAACCTAGTATAAAGGAATACGGAAGATTCGAACTTCTTCTTAATGATCTGCAATCATAAGGCAAAACCTTTTGCTACATATTCCTTAAAAATTAATAATATTTTAAATTTTTAAATTTGTAAGTATTAATTATAAAAAAAAATATGCATAAAAATTAATATAATATTAATAATATTAATTTAAACTCACAGCACTTTGTATAGGTAAACTTACGAAAGCATGAGGTTTAGGTGGGCTATCTAGAGCTCATTCTAAAGATACATAATTTCTATTAAATAGTGTTTGGAATAAATCAGAGAAGAATTCTGGTATTAATCAAGGATATTTAGCTGTAACATCTCCTTCAACTAATTGCATGTATATTATGTGTAAAAATAATACAGTAGCAATTACACTAACTATAGAACCAAAACTACTTATTAAATTTCATCCTGCAAAAGCATCAGGATAATCACTTATTCTTCTTGGCATTCCTTGTAAACCTAAGAAATGTTGAGGGAAAAATGTTAAATTAACACCTGCAAATAAGATAAAGAAATGTACTTTTCCTAATAGTAAATTATAATTTAAACCTGTTATTTTTGGTATTCAGTAGTATCATGCACTAAATAAAGCAAAAACTGCTCCTAATGATAATACATAATGGAAATGGGCAACTACATAATATGTATCATGGAACGCAATATCAAGTGATGCATTAGCTAAAACAACACCACTTAATCCACCTATAGTAAACATAACTACAAAACCTAAAGCAAATAACATTGGAGGTGTTAAATGTATTACTCCACCGTAAGTAGTAGCTAATCAGCTAAATATTTTAATACCTGTAGGTACAGCTATTATTAAAGTAGCTGCTGTGAAATAGGCTCTTGTATCCACATCTAAACCAACTGTATACATATGATGACTTCACACTACAAATCCTAAAACACCAATTGACATCATAGCATAAACCATACCTAAATAACCAAATACACTTTTATTTGAACCGGCTGAAATTGTAGTACTTATTATACCAAATCCTGGTATAATTAATATATAAACTTCTGGGTGTCCAAAGAATCAGAAAAGATGTTGGTATAGTATAGGATCTCCTCCTCCTGCTACTTCAAAGAAAGATGTATTAAAATTTCTATCTGTTAAAACCATAGTTATTCCACCAGCTAAAACAGGTAAAGATAATAATAATAATACAGCTGTTACTATAACTGCTCATCCAAATAAGGCTAATTTATGAAGTCTTATACCTGGACTTCTCATATTTAGTATAGTTGTAATGAAATTCATAGCACCAAGTAAACTACTTATTCCTGACAGATGTAGAGCAAATATAGCTAAATCTACACTAGGTCCACTATGACTTTGTAAACTTGATAAAGGAGGATAAAGAGTTCAACCTGTACCTACTCCATTTTCTATCATACCTGCAAATAAAAATAATGCTAAACTTGGTATTAATAATCAGAAACTTATATTATTTAATCTAGGGAATGCCATATCTGGACCTCCTATCATTAATGGTAATAAGAAATTACCAAAACCACCTATTAAGGCAGGCATTACCATAAAGAAAATCATTACTATAGCATGAGCTGTTATTATACTATTATATAATTGATTATCTGCTATGAATTGTACTCCAGGACCTGATAATTCTAATCTTATTAATACTGAAAAAGCTGTACCAGCTAAACCTGAAAATACAGCAAACATTAAATATAATGTTCCTATATCTTTAGCATTACAAGATAAAAATCATCTTTCTCTTCACATAGTTATTTCTGTCATTAAACCTAAACTTCCTAAATTTGAATTTGAAGCTGTGTTTGTAGAATAACTTTTAAAATTACTCAATTTATTACTCAATAAATTTATTATAAAGTATATTATTTTCTTTATATATTTTTATCTTATCATATATATCCATAAGGACACAAATTGGCAAATTAAAAACTATATACTAAATAAAAATAGGTTATATACTTACATTAATATATAAGGAAAATTTTTTACTTTTCTTTGTTTTTGAAAAATAAATTTTTTTCAATTGCAAAAAATTTATTATATTACAGACTTATATTAGAGTATTCAGATTTGAACTGATAATTAATTTTACCTTTACTCTTTTTTTTTATTTAATTATTTATATATACTATTTGTTTTCAGTTTTTTAGTTGAATATTATTTCATTGTCTACTATCTATTTTTAATGCATTTTTTCCTAGTTCAAATACAAAACCTAGAGTTAGTATAAAGAAAAATACTAACATTATTATTAAACCGTAAATACCGTTAGTATATGCACTTACTATATAAGGATATACTAATAATATTTCTAAATCAAATAGTAAAAATAAAAGTGCAAAAATGAAAAACGAGATACTAAATTGTGTTCTATTTTGACCTAAAAATGAATGAAATCCACATTCGAAAGCACTATTCTTTTCTTGATATGGATTATGTGGAGATAATAATATATTTAAACCTAATAAAATTAAAGCTAATATAGGTATAAATATAAAAAAAAAAGTTAAACTTGTCATTTTTATTTTTATTTATATATTTGAAGTAAAAACTGTTGTAAATTTATTTATTTTAATTAAATCAAAATAAAAATATTTTTGAATGAAAAATTTGATATTTTTTGATGTCCCACCTCCTCCCTCTTCTCTCCACTATTTCTCTACCAATATTATATTAAATCATTAATTATATTTATATTTTTAAAAAATTGAGGAGAATTGGCACTTTGATTTTTTAGTACTATAAAACCTTTTTTATCTATTTTTGTGATGTATTAGATAATGCTATATCTACTAAACTATTTTCTAATAATGTTATAAACGGTACTATAACTAAAAAGTGTGAAAAATATAAAACAGTAGATATTTGTCCAAATTCTATAAATGGAGATTCAACATGTTTTGCACCTAATTGCATTAAAACTAAGAAGTTTGCAACAAATATAAAGAATGCTACTTTACTTAAAGGTCTAAATTGTATACCTCTTAATTTTGATAAATCTGAAAATGGCATAATTAATAATGCTAATATTGCAGCAAACATTGCTATAACACCTAATAATTTATTAGGTATAGATCTTAAAATTGCATAGAATGGTAAAAGATATCATTCTGGAACAATAGCAGGAGGTGTTTGCATAGGATTAGCCATAACATAATTTTCGCTATCACCTAAGGCATTAGGCATGAAAAACACAAAAATAGATAATACTATTATGAATAAGAATATTGTTATTAAATCTTTGAATATATAATAAGGATGGAAAGGTAGTCTATCATAATTACCTGATACACCTAAAGGATTACTTGAACCACTAGAATCATGTAAAGCTATTAAATGCATTAAAGCTAAAGCAGCTAATACAAAAGGTAAAACAAAATGTAATGCAAAAAATCTATTTAATGTTGCATTATTAACAGAGAAACCTCCTCAAATAAATTGTACTATATCTTGTCCTATTCAAGGTATTGCACTCATTAAATTAGTTATAACTGTAGCACCTCATAAAGACATTTGACCATAAGGTAATACATAACCTAAGAAAGCTGTAGCCATCATAGCTATTAATAATATAGTTCCTATAGTTCACACTAATGTTCGTGGTGCTTTATAAGATCCATAGTATAATCCTCTACCTATGTGTAAATACACTAAGAAGAAAAATGCTGAAGCAGTGTTAGAATGTAAATAACGTACTAATCATCCATTATTTACATCTCTCATAATATGCTCTATTGAATCAAATGCTTCTGAAATATTAGGTGTATAATGCATACCTAATGTTACACCAGTTACAATTTGTATTCCTAAACAAAATGCCAATAAAGATCCAAAGTTTCATAAGTAACTTATGTTAGATGGTTGAGGTGAATCAATTAGATAAGAATTTACCATTTTTAAAAGTGGGTGACTTTTTAATATTCTCATTTATTTTTTTTTTATTATTTAGGTTAATATTTATAATTACAAGGTAAAATAAGATCAATACACTTATTATATATATATTTTTTATTGATCTTTAATTTTTTTAATTTGTTTTTTAAGTTATTTAAAGAATCTCTATTAAGATTAAATTATTTTTTCTCAAAGAAAAATAATTATCCTTTTTTTTTATTTTAAATTTTTAATTGTTTAAAATATTTAATATAAACAAATATTAGGCAACGTATAATAATAAGAAAGCCATCATTAAAGCAAATAATCCTGTTGCTTCTGAGAAAGCGAATCCTAAAATAGCGTATGAAAATAGTTGTCCTCTTAAAGATGGATTTCTAGATACACCTATTATAAGTGCACCAAAAACTACACCTATTCCTACACCGGCTCCAATTAAACCAGTTGTGGCTAAACCTGTACCAATTATTTTAGCTGCTTGTATCAAATTTATAAAATAAGTATGTAAAACTAAATATATTATAACAGTTTCAAATATACTAAAGAATTTAAGAATAAATAAATATCCTATAACTGTTATATTTTTAAGTATTATTATTAAAGATTAAAAAATGATTAATTATAAAGATAATACTTAATAAATTTGAAAAATAATTATTTTTTCATAAAATAGTGATTAAAATAAATCAATTAATAATCTATGTTGGAGCGATTCGAACACTCAATAGTAAATACCAAAAAATTTATGACTTACCTATTAGTCGACAACATATTTTTTTTATTGTATAGATGACAAGACTCGAACTTGTAAAGTTATTAGCTATTCCGTCCTAAGCGGACCTGGTTACCA